AATTTCCTTGCTTTTCTTTATGATTCTACTGCCTATGTGTGCATCTCTAAATAAATTAGTTTTCCTTGTTTTTAAGCTTCGATATGAAAAGAATAATATAGTATGCACTCTTGTGATTTGGATTTTTGGCTCGACATTATGTTAGGGTTTCTTCTAGTTTTTGGCAATTATAATAATGCTGCTATCAACACTTTGGTACATGTATCTAGGTGCATAAGCACACCCATCTCTAAGGTGTATACCTCAAAGTGGAATTGCTAGATCATGGCATGTGTACATCTTCAGCTTTATTAGGAATTGAGATCATGTTTTCCAAAGTGGTTATGTTAATTCCCATTCATGCTAGCCTTTGATGAGATGCTTCATTGTTCCACTTCTTACCAACACTTGGGATTGTCAGGTTTTATAATTTTTGTCAGTCTGATGTGTGTAGTGGTATTTCACTGCGGTTTTATTATTCCATTTCTTTGACAAATGATGAGATTGAGCAATGCTTCACATGCTTTTTGGCTAACTGTATTTTTTCTCTTTTGAAGTACATATTAAAATCTTATGCCCATTTTTCTTTTGGGTTTTTAGCCTTTATCTTGTTGATTTGTAGGAATTTTTTGCAAATTCTGGATACTTTGTTGGTTATGAATGTTGCAAATATCTTTCTATGGTGTCTTTTGTGAATTAAAATTTATTTTAATGTATTCAAATTTATTGTTCTTTTATTTATGGTTAACTATTTTTTCCATTTAAGATATCCTTTTGTACTTCAATGTGAAAAAGATAGTCTTTACTATTCTCTTCTAAAATCTTCATGATTTTGCCCTTCATTTTTAGGTCTTGAATTGACTTTTGTATATGTTGTGAAAAAAGATCCAACTTCATTTTTCTCCATATAATTATCTAATGATCCCAGCACCGCTTATTGAAAAGTCTGTCCTTTCTCCGCTGATCTGAAGTTTCACCTACGTCATAAATCAAGTGCTCAATCAAGTCTGTGTTATGTACCAAAAGTCTATTTAACTTTCCTAGTGGCAATACTACACTTTATTTTTTAAGTTGAGGTATAGTTGATGTACAATATTCTATGAGTTTTGGATGTACAACATAGTGACTTACAGTATTTAAAGGTTATATTCCATTTATAGTTATTATATAATATTGGCTATATTCTCTGTAGTGTATAATAGACCCTTGTAGCTTAGTTTATTTTGTACCTAGTTGTGTGCACCTCTTAATCATCTACCTGCCCCTGCCCACTTCCCTCTCCCTACTGGTAACCAGTAGTTTGTTCTCTATATCTGTGAGTCTTCCTTTTTTGTTATATTCACTAGTTTGTTTTATTTTTTAGTTTCCACATATACAGTATTTGTCTTTCTCTGCCTGACTTATTTCACTTAGCCCAGTACCCTTCAAGTCCATCCATGTTGTTGCAAATGACAAAATTTCATTCTTTTTTAGTGACTGAGTAGTATTCCATTATGGGTGTGCGTGTGTGTGTGTGTGTGTATCTTCTTTATCCATTCATATTTTAATGGGTACTTAGGTTACTTCCACATCTTGGCAATTGTAAATAGTGCTGTTATGAACATTGGGGTGCATGTATATTTCTGAATTAATATTACACTTTTTTTAAACTTTTTTTATTGAGTAATAGTCATTTTACAATGTTGTGATTATACTCTTAAATTAGTATAACTTTTAAAACCTATCTTGATATCTGGTAAAGCAAGTTCTACATTTTATTTCTCTCCAAGAAAAAAAAATTATTTTCCCCTTGCAATACCAGTATATTTGGGACTTTTATTGGGATTGCATTAAATCTACAAATCAACCTGGGGGAATTGACATCTTTGTAATAATGATTCTTTCAGTCTAAAAGCACGGCTAAACTTTCCATCTACTTAGGCCTTTTAAAAATACTTTTCAATAATGTTTTATAATGTTCTCTATACATTTTTTCTCTTGCATTTCTTTGTTTGATCTAGGTATCTTTTAGTTTCTCTTAAGAATCTTTTAGTTTTTACTGCTATTACATATGCTGTCTTTTAGAAATTATATTTTATTATTGCTACTTATCTGAATAACATTGATTTTAGTATGTTGATCTTGTAGTCACACCTTGTTGAACCTTTCTACTAGTTCCAATAGTTTACTTGAAGATTTTTTTGATTTTTTTCTTCAGACAATCATTTCCAGTGTAAAGGTAGTTTTGTTTTTTCCTTTGAAATTCTCATATCTTTATACTGGCACAGTAACAGACATAGATCAATCAGACAGAACAGAGAGCCAGAAATAAATCCATGCACTTATGGTCAATTAATCTACGACAAAGGAGGCAAGGATACACAATGGAGAAGAGACAGTCTCTTTTAAGTGGTGCTGGGAAAACTGGACAGTTACATGTACAAGAATGAGATTAGAACATTTCCTTTCACCACATACAAAAATAAACTCAAAATGGATTAAAGACCTTAATGTTTGACCTTAAACAATAAAACATAGGCAGAACATAGAACATTGAACATAGGACACTCTTTGACATAAATCGTTGCTGTATTTTGGGGGGACTTGTCTCCAAAGGCAAAAGGAATAAAAGCAAAAATAAACAAATGGGGTCTAATTAAACTTAAAAGCTTTTGCACGGCAAAGGAAACCCATCAAAAAAGCAAAAAGCCAACCTACTGAATGGGAGAAAATATTAGCAAATGATGTTACTGACAAGGGGTTAATATCCAAAATATATAAACAGCTCATACAGCTCAAATTATCAAAAAAACCAAACAACCCAATCAAAAAATGGGCTGAAGATCTGAATAGAAATTTTCCCAAAGACGACATACAGAGGGCCAACAGGCACTTGAAAAGATGCTTAACATCGCTAATCATCAGAGAAATGCAAATCAGAACCACACTGAGGTATCACCTCATTGTCTCTCATATATATGAGAGATAATGGGAGAGGGACAAGCTAAATTTTAAGGGAGTGGTGTTTATACACAGGTCTGGAACAGGGGATCCAAAGTGAGCGGTTTTCTTTAGGAATCTGGAGCTGAGTTATCTCTGCTTATGGGTTACATTTAACTCTAAAAATTCTGGCCAGGTACTTTGGCACCCAAGGATTAATTAATTAGGCAATGAAAATAAAAACTCTTTATTCCATTTTTATTGAGAAATAGATCACTAAACTCTTTATTAAAAACATGTATTTGCTAAATCTAGTTGGATTTATGGAGGCTTATGCTATGATTCTCTTTATTGCTATGTATATTGAGATTTTTCATACAAAGAAAGTGTTAAAGAAAAATTTTTAGGGAACTTTATCAAGTACAATGTAAAATAATCTCATTGTCTAGTCACTTATCAAACATTTATTGAATGTTTGATATTATGTGCCAGGTACTATGCTAGTCTCTATGGGAGTACAAAGATATATAAGGTACATAGTGCTATCAAAATCGTAAAAAATAATGTGCAGGAGGAATTAAGAGCTGGGGGGACTCCAGCTGGTGTTACCTGCACCACTTACTGGGGAAGACACAGGGTAGAGAGCAGGAATTTCTGATGGACCCATAGAGAAGCTTTGAAACTATAATACAGAGAGGTACTAAGATGCTCCCCCTCCCCTTTGTGGGGCCCCTGCCTGTGCCCAGTTTCTTGGTGGAAGTTATCAAGTATTCTTAACAGCCAGGGTAAGGAGGCTAAGAGTACGTTTCACTCTACTGTTTTGGATTTAAAAGTTCAGTTTGGATTGGAGCATTAGTTATGTCCTTGATTCCAAGAAATATTTCAGTATTAAGAAATGGAAAAATGTTTTTTAAAAGCATAATTGTAACTCCAAACTTGCCATGGAAAAATTGATTTCAGTTACTTTATAGGACAACCCTATGACCTAGGCATTATTCTTTTTAAACTGTTCAGGTTTTTAATTTACAAGAGTCAGACAACCCATAGTAATGCCAGCTTGCCTGTTTCTCGCTAAGGTAGTTTAACCTCTCTGGGCTTGTTTCCTCGTCAACAACTGTTCTGTCAATTGTTGGGTCGTTGAGGGATCAAACAGTGTTAAGAGATGCGAATGCTCTTTGAAAAGTATAAAAACACTACGGTAATTAAACTACCACTATTATTCTGAAAGTCTTATTCATAATCTTGAATATAATATATGTCTGAGTGAACATAAGGTGGCCAGACTTCACTTTTTCAGGTATTCCATAGCCTCTGCTTCAGGATACATAAAAAAATTCCTCATACCCAGCATTCACTTTGTTGACTGTTCAACACCCTCCTTAATTACACGTCCCGCTTGCTTTTCTGACAGTGAGTGTACATACAGAACAGCATTCTCCAAACTAGAGGAGAGAAAAGTATTTTCTTAAAGACATGCCTTGCAAGTGGGGTCCCATTTATTGAACTCCAAGCTAGAATAGAAGCTGGAGGTATACAGATGAATAAACAGGGACTCTGCCTTCAGGAGCTTATGAGTCCATCAACTGATACCGGTAACGTGCTTCCCGTTAGGAGAGCGGGAGTTGCCCCCCACTTGCAGGACTGCAGGAGTCGAAGACCAGCAGGAGAGCGCAGAGGAGGCCCAGCTTGGCACTGGAGGCCCAGTGGAAGTTCCCACGCCCTCTTCGTGTTTGCGACTTGGAAGACACCCCTTCCTGTTTGCGACTTGGAAGGCACCCCTTCTGCCATTCCCCTTTCTTGCGGCTCAGAGAAGTTAAAAGATCCTTTCCTCCTGCTGTAATATATATATCCCAAATCAGGACTGAGGACTTCCAGCGCTCCGGCCTCCACTTCTTCCTGAGGAGCTATTGCGCCCTCCAGCGGAGAAAAGGCGGCAGAACCCAGGCGGCGCCACAAAGCCTTGGACGCCTTCAAGTCCTCCTTAAGGAGCTCTCTGTCTCCGGCCCCGCCCCTCATGTAGGCCCGCCTCCGACGCGACCTCGTCTTGTGGCACCGATTGGTTGGCTCCTGTGCGTGAAGACGCTGCGTCGTGGGGCGGGGCGGAGGAGCGCGGGGAGGAGGAGCGCTGTCCGGAGGGCTTCAGCCCTGTGTCTTCGGCCGCCGCCCCCGCTGCCGCGCCGTGTCCGCCCCTAGCCTGCCTTTAGAGGGTACAGGCGACAGCTGGTGCTCCGGGTGGTCGCGCAGCCGCCCGACGTCTCCGCCGAGCTGCCTTTTCCAGCTGGCAGCTCTTCTCGGCTTAGCCAGGTCGGGGGCGGGGGAGAGGAAAAATGGCGCCGGCACCCCAAGGCGTCCGGGAGGAGCCGCTGCTGGAGTGTGGGTCTGGATCGCTCTCCCGGCTCCTCTTCCTCGCCCAGGCTATCCTCCTTCTGCTGCCGGCTGTCCGGGCAGGTCTCTGCCCCGCACCCTGCTCCTGCCGCATCCCTCTGCTGGATTGCAGTCGCAGGAAACTACCAGCGCCCGGCTGGAGGGCGCTGTTGAGCTCGCTGCCCCCCGACGCGACCAGCCTGTGAGTAGAGCTGCAGGGAGCGGGGACCAAAGGAAAGGGGGAAGTTCCCCCTCCAAGGGGGCCTGGAAGGGGTCCGGCCTGGTCGGAGGGCGTGGTCGGTAGCCTAAGTTCCGAAGGGAAATGCCACTGCGATGTTGCGAACTTTTAAGGGAGTGGTGGGAGCCTGAAGACCTGGTGTTAAGGGTCTGGACACTTGTATGAAGACCAGGGTTAAGATTCTTGAGGCCAGGTAGTCTGTGATTCCAAGGCTGGCAGGAGTTAAGGCGCGGATATTGTTAAGGGCTTACCGGTCCTGGGCACCGGCATTGGCTCTAGATGGTTGAGGCTCCTCGCCTTCTGGGCTGCATCATCCACTGTATCAGCTTGAATGGTTCCCAGGCACGTGATTTTATAACCACGATTGTAAAGACTTATGAACTCTTTTGACCCTAGTTCGAGTTTTGGCTAATTTTGTGTTGTACTTTTGATACTAACAGGATTAAAACAATGTGTTAGGAGATCCAGTAGTACCTTGAATAAATAGCTTTACAAACACTGTTGCTTGATCTAATTTAGGGTTCACTGTAAAGGGAAGGCGAATTTTTTCCAAAATTAAGTGATGCTTTGTTTTCAGTGCATTTCTTTGTGGCAAAGAACCTGAAAAATCAGCCCGTTGTTTATGTATGAGAAGCAAGTATTATGGTTGGACGAATTCTTCTGGAGACTCTACAGTTGCAGGCTTATCTTGACAGGCTTATGTTAGTGGCACCTGGAGAGCCCATTAGTCTGAGTCAGCCTGGTGGCATTAGGAGCAATAGTAGGTATTAAATGCCCAATTATGGGGCTTCTTAACCACTAACAAACATACAGTTATTTCTTTGCCGCTAACTAAGCGGTGCATTTATTAATGGACAGACTTTTAATAGAGCCGTCGCTAAAAACGTTGTCACAAAAAAAAAAGAATAGCTTGAGGAGTGATTAAAATATGAGAGGCAACTTGGATTTTCATTGGAAATGGAATACAGATAGAATGTCTCTCTCTGCAGAGGTTAAAGCATTTATACGTTTGCAAATAGGTTATGTTAGGAAAGAAAGCTCCTTCTTAAATTCCTTGAGAAAAACTAAGGTAGTAAGGTAACTTAAATAACCAACTGTGGTAGTAGTGTAGATCTGCAGTATAATAACGTGGGGTTTTTTTGTTTGTTTATTTGTTGGGGTTTTTTTGGTGTGAAGGGGAGGTAATTAGGTTTGTTTATTTATTCTTAGAGAAGGTACTGAGGGTTGAACCCAGAACCTGATGCATGCTAAGCTTTTGCTATACCACTTGAGCTGTACCCTCCCCCATAAGGTGTTTTCTGTTATTTTATGATAGTGACATCTGTAGTAATTCTGGTTCTGTTGAAGCAAATAAAATTTGAAAATTCATATCAATGTGCAGCATAGTCTGAATTACAGACACAGCATCATCGTCCCCATTTTTATTTTTGCTGTGGGGCAGTTAATTAGGTTTACTTATTTATTTGTTTTTTTCATGGAGGTACTAGGGATTGAACCCACGACCTCATGAATGCTAGGCATGTATTCTATCACTCAAGCTATACTCTCCCGACACAGCATCTTTGTAATGCAGCAAGTACATTTTTCTAAGAAATTCTTGGAACAGCTGCCTGATTATGACAGAATAAATCTGGTACAAGTTTAAAAACAACACAACTTCATTTACCTGTAATTGAAATAAATGTGGCCTACTTTTTAAAAGATCCTTCATTGTTGGATAAATAATAATTAGAAGTAGTTTTATGTAAGATACATTTATTTTGTGTCTATGTTTGCTTTCTGTTTAATCAAGACAGATTGCCTAAAGGCAAATGACATTCAAAAATTTTAAATGTCCTATAATGAAATTGACATTTTCAGCTGAAGTGAAATGTCTTGGAGAGCAATTCTGTTGTAGAAATATAATCGGATGGAAGTCTTATATTATCAGAAGAACTCGTAGAATATTAAAAGATGGGATTGTGCTGTTTTAAATTGAGAAGTGTAACATTTTTTTTTCATTGGTTGCCTTTACCTATAAAACCACCAGGTACATATGGGTTTCTTGATGTAATTTTGAATTTTTAAAATACATGGAATGCTTTGAACATATTAGTGATTCAAACTCAAATGCTCAAACTTGTGGCAATTATAAAAAAGGTGGTAGACAACATTTATTAATCTTGGTTTTTAAAATATGTATCTGCTACCAGTTACTGGCACAGAGCCCCTGAAACCCATGTAATTTCCACAGTGATAAGAGAACTAGGAGTATCTTTTGTTTTACATTTGGTCTTTGACTCTGATTCCTGCTACAGAGCTTCTATATCTCTTATAATTTCCTAGGTGATAGGAGTGTCTTTTGACCTAATGAGGTGACTCTTGGTGAGCTCCTAGATAGCTTTAGGATGGAGCATCACTAGAAAGAACAAGTCATGTTTAGAAGTTTGGAACTTTTGGGCCCACCCCACCCCCACACTCCTGAAATAGAACAGGAGCTAGAGATTGAGGTAATAATTGATCATGCCTATGTGATGAAGCTTCCCCCCAAAATTCCCAAAGTGTGGTGTTTGGAGAGCTGGGTTGGTGAACACAGCTACTGGGAGGTATGCTGGGAAGGTGGTGCATCCCAACTCCACGGGGACAAAAGCTTCTGTGCTGGACCCTTCTGAATCTCGTCCTGTGTGTCTCTTCATCTGTCTGTTCATCTGTGTCCTTTATCATATCTTTTGTTATATATTAAACCGGTAAACGTAAGTAAGTGTTTCCTGAGTTCTGTGAGCTGTTCTAGCAGGTGATTGAATCCAAGGAGGGGGTTGTGTGAACTTCCAGTTTGTAGCCAAGTCAGACAGAAGTTGTGGGTAACAAGGGGACCTACTACTTGTGACTGGTGTCTGAAGTGGGAGGCAGTCTTCTGTGACCGAGCCCTTAACCAGAGAGGTCTGCACTAACTCCAGTTAGTGCCAGAATTGAATTGAACTGGAAGACATCCAGCTGGTGTTGGAGAATTGGTTGGTGTGGGGGGAAAAAGCACATATCTGGTGTCAGAAGTATATTATGTATGTGAGTAAACGGAGAAACCAGTGACAGACGTTTTTTGCTTGACCAGTCTTTAGTCAGGTTCCTGAACCTTCTCCTGGACAATCTGTGCATATCCTAGTAAAATGCAGTTTTAACCATAACCCTGCTAAGTTAGTTCAGTAGAAATCCCCCATCCTCAATATCTGATCAGATTTCTCCTCCTACACCTTCCCCCCCCCGGTGATACTTGACTGCCTGGGCCTGTCTTCGGCGAGAATCCTGTTGGGTCTGTTGAGTCAACCCCCCTCCCCATACCTCTGAAGTTTCCTCTTAGTAATTTTCTGTTCACTGGCCCCACACTGCTCCTTAGCTATAAACTTTCTTTTATTCATGCAGTGTTTGGAGTTGAACCCAGTCTCTCTTCCCCACTTCAGAATTTCATTGCAGTGGTTCCTATACCTATTGAGGAGGTCCCCCACCCCCAAGGTCTTCCTTACCATGCTTTAACAAGTGTCATTGAGTACTTTTTCCTTTTAACAGTTATGGTGCCACAGCTCGGGATAGGATCAGATTCATCATTGGACCCCCGGACCTCTCACCCAGGACCCTAAGTGTGTACCTTTGAAGCCTTTATCTTCACTCCTGACTGATTGATCGGGGATCCATTGGTGAGTCCGACTCCTGAACCATTGCTCCGGACAAACGTCCGTGGAAGCTGGTAAGGACAGATTTTGATTCTTAAGAGTCTTAAGTATGGTTGACCTTGAACAGCATGGGTTTGAACTGTGCAGGCCCACTTGTAGGCAGCTTTTTTCAGTAATGAATACTACATACTACATGATCCATAGTTGGTTGAATCGGTGGATGCAGGACCTTGAATATAGAGGAACCACATATACAGAAGGCCAGTTACAAGTTTTATGTGAATTTTTAACTATGCAGAGGGTTGGTGCCCCCACCCCTGTGTCAAAGATCAACTGAATACTCCAGAAGAAGGATTAGAGTCCCAGATAAAAAACACAGGGTGGGTTAACATCCCAGGTTCCTCTGTTTTCAGGAAAGCTCAGTTAGAGTCCCAGGCAAGTAGCTGTTTGTTAGAAGCTGAGTTAACCCTAGGCTTCTTGGTTTGAAAGGTACTTACTGGGCTGGAAATCTCTCCTTCATGGCTTTTTTTTCCTGAGTAGAGATTATTCCCTGACTCTTTGGGCTGGAAGGCTCTTCTTGGCTCTTTTTTTTGGACTATTCCCGGACTCCTTATCTGGGAAGTCTTTCTTCCTGGCGTTCTGTGAGGCCTTTGTGTTCTCTTTCTTGGGTCCAGCTTCTCCCATGGGAACTTATCAGATGACTCAAACCCTCTTCTGGAACCCCTGCTGACTGTATTCTCCACCATCTCTGTCTGTCTTCATTGTTGTTGGTGTGCTTTTGTTGAGAATAATGTAGAACTTCATTGGCTTCTTTGGGAAACTTGAGATCTCTCCAAACTGACTCCTCTGAGACCTCTCCCCACTGCTTCTGCTCTTCCTTTCCCCACTTACCACCAGTTCCCCTGAATTCTATGATAATATCTCCTTCGAAATGCCTTCCTCCCTATGTCCACCCCTGCCAGTCCTTTTTCCATCCTAGTCTTTATAGTCACTTGAACTTTGGGCTCCTTGGCCTCTACTGGGGACTGTTAAAGGACTTAGGGATGCCCAGAAACAACTACTTGAGACTGAAAGGGAAAAAGGCTAATTGGAAATAGGCTGGATGTTTTGGCCAGTTGGGTGGGCTTTGGAGAGTCAGACAGCCTATAGATGTCTCCTTAGTCAATGCCTGAAGTTTGGTCCATATCCTCCATGAGATTACATATCAGAGCAAGGGAAGGTTGTCTCTACAAAATTGGTAAACAGGTAATCTTAACTTGTCCCGTTTGCCATAAACATAATTTACATAAAAATATAAAGTAGAGAAAAGACAAGAGCTAA